GCTTGTATATAAATTTTTGTAGAAAGTTTTGTCTAAAGTTAGTAGTATTTATTTCTATTTGATATTTTTGTATTGTTTAATTGAGAGCTTGTGTGACTATTTTTTCAATAGAGTGTGTGTTAGTTGTGCATATAAGCCAGTGTTGATTATCTTCATTTGTTTGTGTACATCTGTGACATATGGGATTGTTGTACTTTGCTGGATGTCGAATATGTAGATTGAGAAGTATTGGAAGTTTGTCCATTATTAATTTTAGTTTGAAGGTTTTGATTTTGGTTTGAGTAGGATGTGTATATCGGCTTAGAGGACTATTGTGATAGTTTATAAAGTTGAAGATAAGCTTCCAGTTGATCTTTTTTGGGTCTAAATTCCATCAGTGTATTCTATTTAGGTTGTGCCAGTCTACTATATTTTTCGTGTTTTGCAGATGTCTTAGTAATCTCCTTGGGTTGTGGGGAAATGCGTGATAGTTTAGTTTGGGAGTGTAGATGTTGTGCAGTATCATCTCTGTGTTAATTTCAGTAGCAATGGTTGTGCTTATAATGTTTGGTTTGATTGTAGTATTTGTAGTTGTTATTTGTACTGTTAGGTCTTTCCTCATAATTGCTGCTTTTATGGTTGCTTTGTAAATTCCGAAGGTTGTAGATAGTAATTGATTGGCAAGGTATGTGGGGGTTTGGACTATGTTTATGAAGTCATAGGCTAGTTGTTTTTCATCTGTAGAAATGTTTAGTATACATGCATATGGTACTGCGGTGATTAGAGTTAGTAGTGCTGTCAGTAAGGCTTTTCTTTTAGACGGCCAAGTTAGATTTGAGATTTGTAGGTCAAGAGGTGTGTCGATTATTGTCCAGCAGGCTGTGGGGTTGTGTGTTGAATTCGTGCTGTTAGATTGTATATTTATATTAACATTCAATGCTTTTTTCCCATGAAGAGATCTGTATATTTTCCATAATTTTTGTTGTAGATTGGGTGTGGCTTCCATTAAGTTTTTTGAGATCTGGTCTTTATACGTAGTAAAGGTGTGTTTTTGTAGTTGTTTTGTAGTATTAGAGCAAGGTTGTATAGGAGTTGTGTTTAGATCCTTGATGTTTGCATGTATATATTTCTTTTTGTCTACTTGTATATATATTAAGTTTTGCGCAGAATCTTTGAGGTAGCAGCATTGTTGATTTGGAGAGCTAAGTCTACATCCCATGCACTTGGTTAGTCTTTGAGGGTTGTTTGGTAATTGTTTCCAGTGTCAAAAGATGATAGTTTGATTTTTCTTTTTTGAAAATTTTCCAAAAACTTGAAGCCGTGGGTTATAGACCCATACAATGTGTTAGTTATTTATAGGTGGTATAGTGAAGGAGTTGGGTTGGATAAGCTGATTATGAATATTTTCTGCTGCAGCGATATCATTTAGGAGGGTGTTGTACCATTTAGGTTGTCTGCCTCTGGGTATTTTTTGTGTATTGTGATGTGATTCCTGCCAAGTTAAGAGCTGTGTATGAGAAGAATTAGTTAATTGTTCGATAAAGTAGATATGATGTGTATTTAGTTTTCCTTTTATGACTGAGGCTTTCAGGTTTGAGTATAGTATACTGTTAATAGAGGTTCCTATTTGGTTCATTGGTATTGGCCAGATGTTACTATCATTGTGTAAAATAAGTTGGACCTTGTGAAGTTTCAGTATTATTTGTACGGTAGTTGTTTTATTTTCTGGTGATGGAAGAATGGGTTGGTGCATAAGGATCGAGTGGTTTGTAGTAGCAGAATTTTGTAGTTGTTGTAGCCTTATTTTTAATGCGAATGTGCCAAAGGATGGATGATTAAGAATTTTAGAGAAATTGTTGATAAGTTGTAGTTGTTGTGTATTTTGCATTATTTTTAGACTATAGATTCGGTTGTAGAATAGTGTTGAGCTTGGAATAGTACTAGCGAACCCCGCTTTGTGTTTAGTAAGGTTGGTATAGAATTTGGTAATTTTGTCCAGCTGTGAGTTTGAAAGAAAAGTGTTTTGGATCCAATAAGCAAATCGGGTGAGGATTACTGAGTTGATGATGTGCTTGTTTGTCTGTTATTTTTGCATGTCGTAGCTTTCATATAGCTGCTGTAATTTCATCAGTAATGATGGTATGAGTGGGTTTGTGCAAAAAGGTTCTGGAGAACCAGCATTTTAAAAATCTAAAGGCTTGGTTAGGAGGGATATTTTGTATGGTTTGTTGGTTAAAAGTAATTTGTGCATTATTCGTTATAGTATTTGTAGCTAGAGTTGATTTATTTGGGTTTACTTTTATGTTGGCCATGTTGTAGAAAGTTGTTACTGTATGGATTATGAGTTTCAGAGATCGCTATGATTGAGCAATCCATGTGGTGTCGTCCATATATGCTAGATAAGAGGTATGGGAGTTGTGTGTATTGGATTTATTTTTGATGTGAGTAGTAAGAGTATATCCCTAATGCTGGGTGGTAATTGTGTGTATTAGAGGATCGTAGTATATACGCCATAGTAATGGCGTTATTGTTTCACCTTGATCTATCCTGTTGTGTACCGGATAGGATTTAGAGATATCATATATAGTAATAACTTTATTGGTTCTCGCTGTAAAGATATTAGTGATCAGGTCTGTGATAGGTTCTGAGATTTTTATCTAAGCAATGCTTTGGTAAGTAATGGAATGTGTACTGAGTCGTAGGCCTTTGATATATCTTAAGAAAGGATCCAAAATTCTTTATCGTTAATATGTGCATCTTCAAGTATGTGGGTTAATGTATTAATAGGATATGTTGTAGAAGTGAGCGGTAATGCAACATGGTTAGAAGGTGAAAGTATTGAGTATCTGGTAAGTGTTTGGTTGAGTCTGTTTGTAATGATTTTGGTGAGGATCTTGCGAGTGTGTTCAATTAAGGAGATGGGCCTGGTGTCAGTTAGGGAGCCTGTAAAGATTGATTTCTTAGATATAGGGAAGATTAAGTTTCGTTTCCACATTTGGGAAATTTGTGATAGTTGTATACAGCTGTTGTATATATATGTAATAAGTTTTAGTGTCATGGGAGATAGGTGTTTAAGCATTTCATTTGAGATCATTGAAGGTCCTGTTGCTTTGTTTGTGGAGGCTTCTCTAATAGTCTTTGTGACTTCTTCTTCTGTAATCGGTTTGGTTACATTATTATACCAGTTGCTATTAATGTGTTTTTTAGGTTTGTATTCTTCTTCCCAGAGGTGCCATAGTGTTGTGTTTGGTGGGTTGTATTTGGTCTATTGTTCAAAGTGGGTTTGATATTCTGCTTTGATTTTCTTTGGGTTATTTATAATTTTGTCTGCTTTTTTGATATTATGGGTGATTACTGGGTCTGTGTGTCTATGTAATATGCTGTCAATCATTTTTGTAGTGTTACCTGTGAAGTTGCAGTATCTTTTTTCTATATGTTGATTAATTCGATTTGTTTGCTTATTGTTGTTTTCAAGATTTCTTGCTTGCCATAGAGTGTTTCTATGTATTTTCATAGAGTTGATAAGTTGTGTAATATTATTCGAAGTTAAATCGCTATATGTAATTGCTGATAAGCTTAAGTCTGAGAGCCTGTTTATATTATCGATTAGGTGATTTAGTTTTAAGA